ACACACCGCCCTCGCTCCATCCACAACGAACCCCGCGTCCACGAATCACCTCTCACGCCGGCGACGTGCACGCAGCTGCGTTCAATACTGAACGAGAGTCGAGGGACGCCTTCTGCTCGACGTGAAAACCAGGAAAATGCATGTGGGAGGAAGCATGTTTGTACAATGATAGTGCAGGCGTTCCGCGACTTGTGAGATTATCTCTTTAAGGAGAGCTGCCTGCGTCATGTTTTTGTGGAAGATTCAGGAAAGGTCTGGCCATAAGCGAGGGAGACGATGAGAGATATTGCATACGTACTCCATGACGATTTCGAGTCAGTGAGTAAGCTTAGCTCTTAGTCATGGGTCGCAAGAATGAGCGCGAAAAAAATAACTTCCATTCTTCCAGTCGATATTGTTTCTAAAGAATAGATACTCTTTCCCTCCTATTCCCATTCGGCGTACTTCCTGTCGACGCAGTTCTCTTTGGCCTTGTTCCTGTCGGCGTTATTCCATTTGGGAGCGTTTCCGTTTCTGACTATTCGATTTCTTTCCTGTTCGCTTCAATTTCCTTCGGTGCAGTTCCTGGATTTTATTTTCGGTGTCGTTCCTGTCGACACTGTTCCAGTCGGCGTTATTCCAGTTCCACGTTGTTCCTTTCTGTGTCGTTCCGGTCGACATAATTCCGGCACTGCAAGCTTGTCGACACCGTTCCGATTCGGCATCATTACGTTCGCCCTCATTCCGCCTCCCCGTCATTCCATTGGTATGCCCGTGTAACATCTAAAGTCATAGAGTATGATGTAGTTACCAAAATGAAAGTGCAGAACAGATGGCTCGCATTTTGGGAAGGGGGGGGGGCTCTTACGATATTCACTGTTTGGTGAGAGTGGAAAGTTACCAAGAATCGTTGCTCACATTCTACACGATCGAATAAAAAGGGATTCCAATTTAGTCACTTTATTTCTTCATTAAATATATTGGAAGCCTGAGCATTTTCTGCACAAGGCACCACATGTAAACGTAAATTATTTATGCCGTCAGAATGATTTATTTGCATGATGAGTGAAGACCACATGAGAATCTTCAGTATTGAAAAGCGGGAGAAAAGGGGGGGGGGGGTGGGGCTGCTAAAGCAACCGAAACTCTAACCAATTAAAGGGATCTTTTCACCCTTTGCTTCATATTCTGAAAGAGACTGAGAAATGGAATGCAGGAAAGACCCCGGCGATCGAAAATTCTCTATGCTCTCGTATTCCAGCCATCAACTCGAGAGGCAAGGATGTCTCTGCTTGAAGGACGTCATTTTCCTCAAGAGGCCATGGTCGCATTCCAAGAATCAAATCGCAAAATGAAAGTAAAATAAATGGTGGAGGAGAGTGACAGTTTGCTGTTGGGCAAAGGAGAAGAGAGAATCGTACGTGAAGCTGACTTCAAAAAGAGTCAAGAGTTCGTCATCATCTTAATTTTTCGTTTCTTTTCCTCCAGATGCTCTCGCTCCGGAATGGTACAAACTTGCAATGATCAGAAGGAAGATTCATTTCCTAAAGGTATTCAACTTCACAAAGGACTTCGCCGATGCAGAATCAGCTTGTCGGGCTGATTGATGGCCACATCGTCATGGACGACCTGGGTGATCCGCGGCACATGCTCGTCATTGCATGTCATTCGAGTAAAAATGATTTAAATCGAATTTGACTTTCGCGCCCGCGGTCCCACACGGGCTATCCCCATGGAAGGGATGCGACCGAAAAACTCTATTGTTTTTAGTGGCGTGTTTCCCCATTCCGGTCACGCCGTCCTACGTCATCCGTCCGGGAGCGCTTCGTCTGCCGTGATCGTCGTGTGCCGTCGGTCTCTGCGGTTCGTCTCGGTTGTTTGTCTTCTCCCCAGCCTGCTCGCTCCTCTGAGAATTCTGAAGGATGCTGCTTTCGAACCGTATCAAATTCAGATTGTTCAAGCTTTGAATCCCGAATATAAGCATGTCAGATTTGAATGCGCTAATCTCCTTCTAGAAAGAATCTATTAATGAAGAAAAAAATAAGCCCCTAATCTCCTGCGCCTAGCAGCCCCTAAAGTGAGTAACATTTATTTAAGACCAATTCCAGCCAATTGATATCGCTGTCTGAAAACCTCTCGGTCTATCTGCAAGACCTAGCCCAAAGAACCAAGGCAAGACTTCTTAAAAGCTCGGGAATATTCAACAATTCACACTGCCCTGATTCTTGAACTTGGCTTTTCTTATAGTGGACTTGAATGAGCTTGAGAAACAGGAATGACACTTGAGGCAGCAAGGTCGGCTTGGTTCAACTGCCTCATGATGTTGTAGAGGTCCCTTCGTGTCAAAGGCATTGGCATCTTTTCTGAAGAAATTGCGATATGAACAATGTTTAAAAAAATCCTCACTTTAGGCGCAGCTGGGCGCAGGAGATTAGGGCCTGATTTTTTTTTCATTAATAGATACTCATTTGGCTTAAAAGGAATTTCCTGAGAAATCTTGATAAGTATTTCAAATTCACTCGATAAATTTACTTGTCATTAAAAATAGTTCATCAATCGACTACACAGGATCTAATAATTAACATGAGTTATGCATATTCATCAGGAGTAAAACTGTAATACAATAAGAAAGACTCACCTTCAGGTACACCTTCAGATCGCACTTGATGAAAAAAACAGCGACAAGAACAGCCGTATTACATGTCAAACTTTTGTCACAATTTCGCATCAAGTTTCCATATTATAAGAAAAGTTCCAATCATTGACCTTTGCACCACGAAAGGCTAATGAAGGACCAGAGGAAGACCTGGAGAAATAGCGATGCAGGACAAGGACTTCAATCCGTAACTTTTTGCGACAAAATATTTTTTCCCCTCCATTTCCAAAATATGAATTTTGTCCAAGAATTTCGCCTTTTGTACTACTGTGCACCGCCAGAAATCCGCCAGCGTAGTGCCTGGTCCGCTTATGGCCAGCTACCTTCGAGCTACATGGGAAAAAATCGAGGAAGCTTTTTAAACTTTAATACCCTTTACTTTAGTACTTTAATAATAGAACATCGTACCAATGTAGACCTAACGAGAAGTTATAGGCATAGGTAAAGTTGTAATTCATTCGCAATCGCATTTCATGAGTCTGCCGCTGATCGTTAGCTGCGTTATGCCTAACCCTTCAATATCATGATGAGTCTTGAACCCGACAGAAAAATCAAAGCATGTCAGTGTTAGTGTTGGTATCAACGTTCGAGTCAGTGTTGGTTAGAAGAATCTTCTCGCCCCTAACGTTGGAAGATAACACTAACATCGAACACCAACACCCTATTTAAACTCACCCATAGTCTTTTTTGAATATACAGGGTGTTCGAAAGTCACTGTGCAGTAGAATTCACGACATGACGTAGGAGGCCTTACTGTGGCTAGGAATTACAGACAATAAATTATGTGAATCGGGGATAGTGCTAATATTTGATGAAATATTGAGTGGAAGTTCATGTCTTTGATGATGCAATGCACGTGATACACAGTACAATACAAAATACAAAATAAATGAATTCTACTGCACAGTGACTTTTCAAACACCTTGTAGTATCACTTACAATGGATTATGGAAATCAAATACTCTGAAATATCACCCAGGAGTAGAAGTAGGAATATTTCACTTCAGGCTACGCATCAAATCGACGCTGAAGTCGAAGGGAAAGGTCGTTCGCGAAAGGCAATGGACATCCGAGCTCAACTGGACCCCAGTCGAGGACTCCGCACAAACTGCCTCTGGGGAAGGATGAGAAGGGAGGGTACTGAGGGAGGCTATGTGAGTGCCAACAAATTTGGTCATTCAGTGAATTTGGCGACGAAATGGTTCCGCCAATGCCCGGAGGCGAAGGATCAAGGTTGGGTGAGAGTAAGTTTTTCTTTTCCGACGAGATTCACCTGCTTCCTGAGGAGTATAAAACAACCTGAGAGAAGAAAATATCCCTATGGAAACACAAGACCGAACGAGTTATCGAAAGGAGCCCTAATGTTCCTCAGTATTTCCTCATGAAAACCTATTCCCTTAATTCCAATAGTCTATCCTTCTGGAATATGTCTGTTCTATAGGTTCTTGTATATTTCCTTTAGGAACCCCTATGCCCTATAATCCAATGGTTCCTGGCGCCTTCGCCGCATCCGAAATGGTCTTGCGCAGTTCGTTGCGGACACGAAGCCGCATGCATCTTTGGTCGGAGTACACTTTCGTCGCAGACACCGATCGTCGCACTTTCCTTGTCACTAGGGCATTGCAGGGCTAGGATGATTCAATATTGTGACATCTCAGCCCAAGCAAGGCATTAGCGCAATTGTTGATTATTCTAAAATATTTTTACTATTGTCCTCAATCTCAGTCAATAGCTACTCTTTTGTGTATGCCACACCTTCTTACCCTCAGAGCTTTCCAGCTTACATAGTCATTATATATCCTTGTCACTTGTTAACGACAGAGACCCAATCCCATCCTTCCCGTATAGCCATTAGCTTAAAGCGATCAGGAACTCCGATGCTCCATTCTTTCATTCGCATTTATTCATCAGGCCCTTGTCTGCGAGCAGGGCCTGGCCGTACAAGTGCGACAACCTGTCTTTGCTACGAAATAATTCTAAGACGATACGAACTTGTGACGTTTTGTCCTTAGCTACCCACAACCATTTTGGCAGGGACAAAATCTTCTGCCATGAATCCATTAGGACTATAACCCAGAGGGCTTTTTTCTTAAGGGGGCTATAATTTCGACAGGGCTCAGTAGACCTTCTTTTCCAAAACTTAGGGCGATCCATTGAAACGATTCATGTCCTATTGTCACCATTCTATAGATATCATACTTAGACTCTCTTTTAGCTGGCGCGAGATCTATTTTTTTTGTAAAACATGCTGAATGAATGCAAAGTGCAAGCTATTCATCGTTTCAGTTGTTTCGCATAAGCTAGATTGACGAGTCCATTCGTTGCTGCTGCACACATTTATTTAGTACTGATCGTTCAATGCAAAGTTCAATATAGAGTGCACAGGAATTCGCAAAACAAAAAGGAAAAGCAAAATGCATCAATCAAATTCAAAGTTTTAAACTGCGTGAAAGGGTGAGAATTCCATCATACCACAGTGGATGATTCATATCGGTTGAGTTACTTCTAGTGGAGCAAATATTCGAAAAGAAGAATTTGTTCATGGAAATAAAATGGATCCGTCTTGGTAGAAGTTTTCCATGGTGCATCCTGCAGTAGTCGAATTCGAGCAAGGCTGAAGAGAAACTCCATAAAAATTCAGAAATTGAGAGAAAAAGTTCCAAGGGTTGTCATCGTCGTCACAGAGAATCTCAATAACGTTGAGTTCGATTTCGGCCAGTTCTCTGCTGAGACATTTCCTCCATCCAGTCCTTGTTGCTGGGATCCAGGTTACCCTGGAAATAAACGGTGTTGATGTGATGAATGAGCATGTCCACTTTTTGGTTCACCTCCAAGGCTTTGTCGTCGCTTTGCTTCTTTTCATTTCCTTTTTCGGGTTTTAGCCGATCTTGAGGAACTGGAACTACTTTTCCCCTTCGTCCAGACAGGCCGAAATAGGATTTTGCCCTCAACCAGAGAAACTCCATTACTTCATATTCGTTCGGCTGCTTGAACAGGTCTGTCTTGATAACCTCAAATGCTCGAATGATGATGGTCATCAAGAGATTGATCATGATGAGACTCATCGAGATGGCAAAAAAAAAGAAAAAAACGGCTCCAACAATGTTGGTCTGTTTCATGCTGTCGAACTTGAATTTCCCCAACAACATGGAAAAGCAGGTCCCGAAGGCCGTTACGAAATTCCGCCATTCTTCCAGGTCCACGTAGAAGAAAAGATAGAACATGAGACAGAATGCGATGAAGAACATGAAGAATACGAAGGCAAAGCCAAGAAGGTCGTTCCAACATTGTTTCATAGTTGCCGCAAGGACTCCCATTCGACGATTGAATCGAAGGAGTCTGATGAAGGAAACCATTCCGATGAAGGTGAGGAAGGCAACTATATATCCGAAAATCTCGTCAATGAGAGCCACATGGTGGAGGTTGACGTATTCGTTGCCGTAGGATTCGTAGATCTTCTTCAAGACGTCCTGAGTGGCAACATATCGATAGGCGTAGAGCCCGACAGCAGTCCACCCCAGCAACAGAGTTGTCATGTCGGCGTAGCTCCAGTACTGAAGGAAGTATTGACGTTTTTCCTTGCAGCACGCTCTGAAGCATTGATAAGTGAAATAAAGGATGAAGAGGAGGAAAAGCAGTTCGCAGATGAGGATGAAGACACCGAATGCAGTTTGATAGGGGAGAAGGGTAATTCCGTCGAATCGCCAACTTTGCACCATCCCTCCGCCAGGAATCATTTCAACTGTCACCCGACCAACTCCGAACAAGTTCACCTGGTGGGAAGAATAATTCCGGTTTATAGAAATACGTTTTAGTTTTTTTTTTTCCAAACATCATGGTTGTGCTTTGTCGCACTACCAGTTGATTCTGGTCCCTTGAATTCAAGGAAAAGTAATCCTTTCGCCCTGGGATATGCAGAGGATGAGCCCCTCGAGAAATTAATGTACGCCATACGGAGAGAAGGCAAACGAAAGTAAACAAAAGAAAACAGAGTTAAACTTTCTTTCTTCCCCATTGAAAGGACTTCTTTCAGAAATTGCTTCTCGCAGGAACCTCCCTCGAGGAAATGACTTACAGACAAGCTGGAGAAGGAGAGAGAAAGGTGGTGAAACGAATGAAAGAAGGCAGGGTCTCCTCCAGAGTTGCTTCTCTCATTTCGAGCAGCTCAGATATGAAATTTCTTTTAAATTCCTCCTTAAGGAATCCAACTTCTTCATATCGATGGGGTGACAGGAACTGAATTCGTTTTAACCAATGACTCCATAATGTGTTTTATGGGTATGATTAATCTCAGAAGAACGGACCCATGTGGCCTCATTTATGAAACTAATTCGACCAAGAATAACCTTTCAACAGACTTGTCCCATGAAGCCCAGAGTTTCCCACTACTCCATCTTTTCCTTGTTTCAGACAACAGGTATTTTGGATGCAAAAATACTTTCTTGAAATTTTACCTCGGAAGGAATCCTAGCTCATGCACAAGGGAATGCTCATTTGCTGCGTGGTATAAAGGATTCATGAGTATGGTCAAGATCGAAACTGCAAACGGCGCCTCTCCAGGTCATCACCTTATAAACGTGTCCATTACCTCGTGTTTGGATGGTCTTCTCATACGTGATCTAACGAAACTCGCTGTCAGATTTCGTCTGTAAAGAGGAAGCGAAACCTGGGAACCGAACGTGCTCGTACTGCAAGAGTTGAATGACCTAGTTCTAGCTTTGGTTTTATATTGATATTAGCCCAGGAAATTGATAACGTGGTATCCAGACTACTTTTGGTCTGAACAATAAGAAGAAATGAGTGAAAGAAGTTAGGGCTATAAGAGGGGGTGGGAAAGACGGATAACAAATACGGACATCGGACACAGCTACGGTACAGCCAAGCGGACTCTTTGCCAGTATCCGGGAGAGGGAACTTTCGCCTCCTCTGGATATCAGCGAACGGTTCTTTCATTTACATGGGAGTTTCAGTAGGCATGATCTGAATCTGAATGTAGGTCGTGCTAATTTATATAAATAGTAATACATTTTCCTAAATAAACATTCATCTGATCGCTCTAGTGACTTCCATTTCCTGTTCCTCATTTTTCTGTCATGATAAGGATGTCAGTGAGCGGCAAGGGAGGATGTCCGGGTTTCGGTGGTGTAATGGAAGCACACCTGACCGGTAATCAGGAGGTCCGGGTTCAATTCCCGGCCGTCCCCTGGCTTTCTTTCATCCTCTGTTCTCCATCCAATCTTCCCGGCCATTCTCATGACATTTCCATTCCTGATATTTTTCAATACTTGGATGCTATCATTTCAATTTTGCAAATCCCGGGAGCCAAAGACTCCATGCTGGGTCGTCGGAAGGTTCAGGAACTTTTGTTTCTTCAACTCTTCGAGTAAGGTGGCCGAGGCTAAAAGGGACAAGAGTTTTAGGGGAAAGACATGCTTCACCATTGATATCTCACACCCGGCCCTCCTTGTTCGATTGCTGCGCATGATAGTGGAGGTGGCCATTGCACCTATACGCAACTGAGGTCGAAGGGATGCCGGCGAAGAGCCCATCACACATGTCTGACTCACTTCCTACTCCATGGCTCCTTTTAGTCAGTTTGAAGGTTCTTTTGAACGGTCACGTAAACGGTGAAGTCGCCGGTTATCCGACGGCTCGTTCAACACGGAGTCTATTGAGTGTCATCGATATGAGAACAGGTCAATGGACTGATTTTCTTCTCTTTCGGTCTGAGATACACAAACACTTCTGCTCGTCATGGGCTGAAGAGATGCATTTTCCTAACATTGAAGCAGTCACAATAGACTTTATCTGCCATACTTGTCAGTCTTCCTTTATACATATTTTACGACCTGGTTAGTTGGCGACGTGTGCTTTCATAGTATAACAGTTGATATAATTTTTTTTCCTGAAAGTTTATTTTTAATAACTTTTGAATATGACAGTCTTTTTCTGCCTATCAGGTCATAAAGTCTCATTTCATGTATTCCACTTCCTGCATCCTAAAGACTCCATCGCAGTTGTTTTTCGCAGCCGATTTTCGGCTCGTTGAAAACCTAATGAAGCTCGCCAACTAACTTGAGCGTTGTAAGTGAAGAATTCCAGGAAGACGGCCCTGGTGTAGCGATCGATCCAGTCGAGATCTTGCAACGTCCTGAGGCGACTTCGAATTTCAGATTCGAATCCTTGCAATTTCACCACGTATCCTCCACCGCTGTAGATGTCAATACGTCCCACAATGGGAAGAGTTCCCATCTTCGATGCCACCGTATACCTGAAGAAAATTCAATGCTCGAAATATTAGGGGTTCAAATGAAAAGGGAATAATTACTGTTATTCACAGCCTAAAGGTAACCTAAGATAGCCTATAGTTGGGGACTAAAAGTCCCATTTTCATTTGAACATATAAGTACATAGATCAAAATATGGGGCGATCATAAAAACTACTCCATAGCAATGCATATCTCAGAAACGACAGACAGGACGCTGAAATTGTACAGAGGTGCTACCGGGACCGTGCGCTCAAAGATGTCATAGTTATCATATGTTGTAATCAGGGTTGCCACTGTGACTTAAAGTATCATTAGTCGCTTAAGTGTTCCATCAGACTGCAGAATGCATACCAAATAAATGATACTGGATTTTTTATGGACGAAAAGGGGACGAGAACGGAAAAAAAGAACGACCAGGACGAATACTACTTTTCGTCATATTTTAGTCCCATCTTGCCAATATATGTGCAGACATTCTGCTCTCTATTGAAGTCGAAAGTGAAATTTGCAACTTACTGATATAAAAACCTTGATATGCCTTAGGTGAGAACGAAAATAACAGCAGAGAAAGAGTTCAAGTAATGCAAAAAATTTAAATCAGAATAATGTTTCTTGTTGCTGTGCGTGCAGCCCGCGCAGGAAGTCACGCAAAAGGATGTCATGTGCCCTCCAAGCGGAGGACACAGGAATTATTAGGAGGATGATGTAAATGATTAGGAGGATGTTATGGAGTTTCCTCCATAACGTGATACATTCATGGATATACGAAATATTAAAATTTAATTTTGTTGAAATTATTTTTTAAATACAAAATTTGGTAAGCATTTTATTTCAAGAAAGAAAAAGAAAAAAATTAGACAAATAGGTCACAATGTGGTCGAAAGTTACCGAAATTTTTATATCCTGAATCAAATAAATTACAGTGATTATTTTCGCTATGACTGAAATATGACGAAAACAAAAAGTTGGCATCCCAAAACTGGCGAAAAATAAAACATAATTCTGATTGACAGACGGAAATATCATTGTCATTGAGATGCCTTTACGAATACTTTCCACACCTACTGATTCCGCGAACATTAATTTTTTAATGTTAGTTTTCATTCATACATCCATGCATACCATTAAAATCAATAGAAATTATATTGCTCTTAAAAGCAAGGCGTGTGACTAACATGAATTCGGGCCGAGCGCATTGCGAATCAGTGTTATTGATTTCAGTTTCCCGTTGCCAGTGTTCACAGTAATCATCACTGTCTTCATTGACGACGCTGGAGATGCCAGAACATGTCTTGATGTTTAATCCTTGATAGTTACTGGGCAATCTGCAAAGAGAAATGCTTCTTTGAACAAGTGCTGTAAGCAAAAAAAGTTGGCATGATGCTACGTGAGCGGCTCCACGCCATTCAGGGCTGCCGTTTGTATTAGGTGATGCAACGGCTGTCGTCATTCCAGGATCTATTCCCCGGGGGTTAAACGACATTGGTTGCAGAATTTCCTTTATTTTTTTTACTGGCGTGTCTGTGGACTTGCAATGCCAGCCTGTCACCTTCAGTCAAGACTCACATCCCTCACTGTGGATCTCTTTTCGCTAGATTTTGAAACAATAAACAGAAAAACATTGTCGACTGACAAATTAACCAGGGAATACTAATTCCCCCCGAAGGTGATACACGAAGAAGAAGTGATCGACTTGGTTCCCTCCTGACTATTTCTCAGCCTCAGTTGGAAGCCAAGTGCACCTGGCTGCTCGTGCCTCGGCCATTTAAAAAAAATTACATGCCAGTGTGCGAAACGAGACTGCGTCTCTTCAAGATCCTGTTTTCATGCAAATGTGGGATCCACTTTTCATGCAAATGCAAATCTGGTCCCCACATAGAATTAAATATAAATAAAATGCTCCAAGAGTATTGAACTCTATGTGAGGACCAGAAGCTTTAAAAATGACTCTACACTTTCTCTCTCCACAACTGGCATTTTACAAACGTGTTCCCATATTTATAATAGATTTCTTCTTTCCACTGAGCATGAACTAAGCCCTGCTACTCACTCACGTGTCACCTGCTTTATATCATGGATATTTAACTCACAGACAAGACTGGGGACGGACTCGGACTTGACGAAGTGTTCCATATCCAATGAGTCGATTTACTCGGTCGTCCAGGAAACCTCTGAAGCCCCATGGCGCATCTCCATTGTACCAATTCTGAGCACGGAGTTGATCCATCGCAACGGCGTTTAGCCAGCTCCAGTAGTCGCTTGTCGTGACCACCTGTGATGGATTAGAATGCAGCGAGAGATCTGAGAGTAATAGTGTCTATTTGTTATTGAGTTAACGCAGCAATAATTTAAAAACTCTATATGCTTAATGTCTTCGAACTGAGAAAGCAGCTAACTGACTCAGGAAGAAGAAAGTATATCACTTTTTCTCCGCTCAGGTCATGGGCTAATAATGAAATCACTCATTCAAGGGATATCATCGTCAAAGTCTCAATTCTCTTCTCATTCTTCTACATTGGAGGATGGAAAATGAAGACTCAAAAGTGAAATTGATTTTCAACTAAGAATTCTAATATTAAAATGAAGCGAGAGGCCACTTTTACACATTTTGCCTGAAATGCTTGAATAATCGTTTGATGAAAAACACATGCGTACTTTCCGGAGAGCTCGTGATCATATACTTGCGACAGACCTTGGTGAAGTCCACGTTGGGATCTCCTATCCTTAGGAAGGCGTTAGCGAATGCATCCTGGAGGTAGAAGGCATTCGGGCTCCTGTTGCCATATGAGAGGACGAGAATGACCCAAAGGTAGAAGATGTAAAGAGCGATCTCCTTGATGATCTCCCACATCCGGACTTCTTTCAGTCTTTTCTCCCTGATTGCCTGTAAAGCCGCCTGATTCATCGGGCGATACCCAACTCCCTCATTTCCTGTCAAACAAGGAACAGCAGTTTTTCTTGTTTCAGTTCATGAATTTCTACGCATAATTTCAAATATAGTGCCAGAGAACGAGAGTGAGATCCAGAGAGAGTCCTGAGAAGTAAAAGGAGGCATTCGCTAATATAACAGCCGAACTTAGTCGATCTCAACGAAATGATGCCATTAATGAGCATTTATTTGTGGTTCTCTATGAAGAATTTCACTACCCACGTCGAGATGCTCTTAATGTAATAAGTAACATCCCTCATTTGCACAGAAAACTACCCTGTCGATGGAAGAATTTTCGTTTTTGACCTGCCTTTAGTTCGGGTTCGCCGCGAGTGTAACTGCATATGAGACTGTGAGACTAAAAAGGGCACGTAGAAACTGTTGGCTTCTGGGTATTAGTGGCTATTATGACCATTGTTACTGAAGCCACTCCATCCGTATCTACGTTGAAATCGCTACAATTTTTTCATCATAATTTGAAACGAGTGTAAGAGGCCTTGGGATGGTCTCATTCTCAGGACGTCGGTCCGAAACCCATGCCCTTACGTATCTCAGGGATCCACTCCTGATCATATCTAAGACGAGGATCTTCTTCGTCTTCATCTGCATCATCGTCGCTAGGTTCCATTTTGAAGATGCAACTGAACAAGAGGGCAAGCAGAAGAATCTGGAACAGAAAAATTAAATATAATAAAAGCTGATAAATCCCAATAATGCCGTGTAACTAAATCCCCTTTCCCCACTAATACCTCATCTTCATTTTTGGGAAATAACCTGCCTCGTCATCTTCAGACTGCAATCATTTCACGTAATTTTGCTCAAAAAATACATCACATTTTAATGAAAGGCAATAAAATGCACAAAATACCATTTCTATGTTTATTCTGTGCACCTCCTTGAAAGGAGCCACTAGAGCAGTATTCGACAACTGAATTTCACAAGGGACTGGATAGCAATGCTACACGTTCGCGGGTCAACACTTATCAAGTGTCATTAAAATGAACATTGCTATAACATGTGCTATAACCAGGCCCTCGGGGTTAGTCCCCGTCAAAAATTGTCGTTGGTTTATCGTTGGGCCATAGATGGGGAATTTGGTTATCATCGGGCCTCAGTTGGGGAAGTTGGCTCCTTTTCGGCGAAATATTGCCCGGCCTACCACATTCGTGAGTAGGTCGGTCAATCATTCGCCAAATATGAGCCAATGTGGCTGAGAAGGTTCCGGAAACCGGCGTGAGATGGAGCAAAAGTGGTCGTAGTAGGGAGTCACTTCCTGGATTCTATTGAAATGAGTCCCCTGTTCCTTTGCCACAGTTCCCTATGGTTTCTCACATAGACCTCAGAGAAAGGCAATTGAATCCTTGAAACATTTCTCTGAAGATGTAACGTAGTCCTGGAATAAACTAGGAAATTTCGGCACGGAGGTCCGTGGGAGGATCCTATTCAATACTTTCCGTGATAATCTATGCGACCTTTCTCCCCAGGACATTCCGCTTGTGGAAGCTTTAGAGTCTGGAAAGGATGTTGCAAGGGATATTATTGGCGATAGGGGAGTGCCTGACTAATTTTATTCTCTTACATGAAGGGTTGGTACATTCTTATCATGATAAATTCATTAATATGCACAATGCCGTAGATGCAGTTCATGTGGGTGTTTTTCTTGCGTTGTTTCACCATTATGAAAAGTCGGTTTATGGTTGGGGCATGTGCGGTTTCCCAAAAATGAGCCAAAGTTGGTCCGACGAAGGGTGAACAGGACATGCCCGACCAAAAGCTAGCTTAAACTAACCATATGCCAGTGATCACGGAACTTAGGCTTATATGCGCATCGACGAAAAGGCAAAAAATCAATGGCCAATGGAAAATTTCAAATGGAAATTCAATGGAAAATTTCTTTAATTACAACTTTTTATTTATCGCACTAACATAAAGCCATGTTTGGTGGAACCTCTTTGGCAAGGAAGAAAGACATAGTGGCTGTGGGTTTTCAACGCTATCATAGTTATAGGCTTTAGTGGCTGGCATATGGACGTGGACTTAGCTGGAGAGGTTGGTGCTTTAGTCTCGTGCAGGGGATTTGTACTCGCTTCAGGGACTTAATCTGCACTTGAGTTTATACCTGAATGGTTTGGGAGAGCATACGAACGAGGAGAAATATTGACCTTTCGAATCATTTTTCGGAATCATTTGGAATAATATATACCCGAAAGCAAATATTTATTTGAATCATTCCAGATCCAATGCAGAGGCAACGTGCGCCGAAATTTGGTTGGCTCTGTTTCTTATTAGAAACCCAAAACATCAATGATGGAGAAAACCTGATTTTCTCTCTTTCTCCCGGCATCAGTCATCAGTCTAATAAAAGAATAATCTAAAGGTATGGAAGCCTATCTCATAAATTTGGAGCAATGATCTTTCCGAAGAAGTTGGCAGGGAGAGAGAAGGATATTCATCACGCTGTATTTGGCCAAGGATCAAAATAAGTGTTTCACCGACGGACACCTTGGGTCATCACAGTCCAGGATGTCGGGCATTGAGTGGTTCGCATGCATCATGATAACTATTTCCTTGTCAAGTACTGGATTGGGGATGGGTAGAGCGGCGCGAAATGAGTAAATGGGAATAGCTAAAATGGGAATAACTGAACTCAGCAAGGATATCCAGCTTCGCCGCGGTAAACTAGTGGGACCCAAAACAATCTGACTGTTTCGTATCCAGCAAGGCCTGAAACCATGGCATGAGCTGGCACAACCCCGGAAGACGGCTTTGAACGCCGAAGATCGACTCTGGTTTGCCGATTTTCTGTGAGTGGGACTAGGAAAGCTTCCTCCACCTCGCTGCCAGCGACGAATTCTTCGTTTATGTGACCAGGAAGCCCAACTCTCAGAACGATTGAATCTGGTCCAATACCCCAGAGAACATTCCCAACGAAGAGCATTACCGAGAGTTGCTCAAAACTCCCGACTGTGTGGCGCCTTTGTCCTCTTTACCGCCCGCCGCCTGATGTGGGTGATTAAGCCGCGCGGTCAGAGCTGGGACGGCGCTTACTTCCGGGAGGAGATCTTGTCGAACCGGGTGATCTCCTTTCTCAAGGTCCCCTAGACCGTTTTGGACGTTGACCAGGTTACGTTCCTCCATGACAAGGTCCCCTGCATGATGGCACTTCGGACCCAGCAGCTTCTGAAGAATAACAACATCGACTTTCTGGGAACGAGGAGTGGCCGGGTAATACCCTTGATCTCAACATGTGTGAACACGTTGGGGCCATCATCAAGCCTTCAGGTGGAACGCAGGATACTTGTTGAACCTTGTTGTTGCAACCTGATTCTGCCCCCAGACAATGGAGCAACGCATCGAAGCAGTCCTTCGAAATCTGGAGTTCAGCACCGACCTCTTCGAGTCCCTCCTGACCTCCTACCTTGCCTGCCTCGAAGCCGTCCGCCAGGCAGGAGGAGGCAACGCAGACTATTGAATTGATGTGTCATAATATTGTAAAATAAATGTCTAACACGTGGTGTTTTCAGCTTTCTTCCGCCTGGACAGGGGGGGGCAATCATTGTTCGGGTATCCTTATAACGTCAATTTATTGAATATGACTTTCTGAGATCATCGTTCGTAATCACTTCATACGAAAACAACTTGGCAATGTGCTCGACCATCTCGGATTTCCAGCGATTGCAGTCAATCTAACGATCCTATATGAAAATAATCAACTCCATCGGTTCTGCGTCTAGCGAGATATCACCCCCCGAAATTCAGGGGGGAAAAGGAAAAAAGCTCATTGACAGCAACGTTTTCCTCCCGGGAACCGTACATCGTATGGAGGCGTGCATAGGTTCAACCAGAACTCTTCAGTAAGTTCACTTCATCTATCCTTGGGAATGGAATGAGATTTCAGCATCATTGTTGAGTCTGAAAATATGAAAATCTATGCATATTTAACTCATCAATATTCCTATGTATCGAGGGAAAAGACTAACTTCTCATTACGGTAAGCTGCATTTCTCTTTCAGCTGCACAGGTGAAGCAAGTTATCTCTTTGACTTTTGGTCCGCTGTATAGAGAAAAATTCACCTGAATATCAGAAATTTCTCATGTTTGACCATCTTTGGTAGAGTACTTCCGATGTGGCCGGACACTTACTGTGTCATGGCTAGTGTCATTAGGTAGATGACCTTAAGCACTTTCTAAAGATGTATGATTTGTTTCGTCTTTTTCAAATAATATATATTTTTTATTCCTCAAGAGTTGCTTGCTGCAATTCACATTTTCTTCAAGTGGATGCAAATAGTCGTCTGATGCTAGAAAGGTTTCCCAGTTCTCAATGCGAAGATTTATGTTCTAATTTCAGCTAAGTTTGTCATGTGTTGACTTCTTTTAGACTACACACGTTGTTCACCAATAATCGCCATAGGGTCGCATGGGTGAGCGAAAATTTGGTGCTCATGATGCTGAATATGCTTCCATATGACTGTGATTTATGAATTAATTCGCGTAGAACTATGCAGTACCTTTATAGCGATACATTACACAACTATATTCATCCACTTGAAGAAATCATGAATTCTGGGAGTGTGCAACTCTTGAAAAATTAGAGCAAAAATGTATTTCGAAAAAAGGACAAAAAATCATGCATCGTTAGAAAGAACTTCAGGTCACTTATCTAATGAGACCAGACATGACACCGTAAGTGCTCTGTCGCATCGAAAAATACTCGACTAAAGATGACAAAAAGGATAAATTTCCGATATTCAGGTGAATTTTTCTCTTTGCAGCGGACCAAAAGTCAAACACAGCTTGCTTCATCGATGTGATTGAAAGAGGAGTGCAACCTACCGTACAGAGAAGTTTGTCTTTTCCCTCCACACAGGAATATCGGTGCTTGCTATTGCCCAATCTCCGTACACTGAAGGAAGGAAGTTCCCAGGATGGAAATTTTGCCGCCTTTGAGGTTTTTCCGTCATCCTCCGAAATGTGGGGGGGGGGGCGATGTCTCGCTAAACGCGGAGCCAATGGAGGCGATTATTTTCATAGGGGGTTGTTAGATTGACAGCAATTGCCGAGAATTTTCATCACCAAATCCGAGATTACTGGGAGCCATTTTCTAATAATATTGGTTGAGTTTGTATGGAATGACCAAGAGGTTGGAAAATATTCGAAGAAGAAACCTTGTCCCTTTTAGCAAGGGATTATATAGGACTAACTTTAATAATATAATTTGAATCTGCATGTACAGGGTGTTTCATATATAACCCAACATACATATACCTTGTATGCTCATATCTTGGTAGTAACGCATCGTACGGCAGTGAATCAAAATTCAATTCACGTGTCATGTAGTCCTTCAAATTCACAACTGGATGGTGTGAAAGCAGCAACTTGACGAAATATTTCTCTATAGAAGAAAAAGTGGTTGGCAGACATGGATGTTTCACGCACGACTGCAATCCAAATGAAGTTGACTGAAAACCTTTCCAAATGTGCCCTGATGAGTCCCGTATGTATCACTTTGAACATAAGAAAAACATGCCGCAAGAAAAGCATGATGATTCAGTGTGCTTAAGATGCGCTTTGAAGTTTTTTGGGAAATGTTGAAGTTCTCCTTCATGCCACCAGATGGAAGTGTGGGTCTCGCTTTTCACACAGTACACAAAAGTATCCTTCTTTCCTCCCTGGAATCGTCCCGCACAGGAGTGTTTAGTACCTCGTCATATGTCTCGCCTAGTCTCATTATATGAATCAATAAACGCGGGCATTTAATCATTTGCTATCCCATATTCGAGGGAGAATCGAGGAATCCAGG